AACTGTGTAATATTAAATATGGGAATTCAAGAAAAAATATTACCCAATCATAACAATCAATAAAATGCTTCCCTTTACTAACTTTGCTTTCAAATATACAATAACATTCTAAGAATTACCATTCAGGGACCAGTCAGTGGCATTGGTTATATCGATGGACTCCCGCAAGGCTGAACACAGTTCGAGTCCTAGACCTGGTGGCCTGAAAATCATACTGGGTGCATTTGCATATATGCCCAAGATCCCTGGAGGAGGATAGAGGAAAAAGCAGTGATTTGTCACTATCCCTCTCATTGTCTGTTTCTCGCTCTCTCTAGTAAACGTATGTACCCTATGGCAAAATCTCTAATAAAAAAATTACCATTCAAAGAATTACTAAGTCATTCTGCATAAAACTCTTAGCAAAACTACAATTCAAAAGCTATTTGTATAAAAGGGGATATAGACATTTTCCCACAGAAGCTACATCAAACATAGCTTCATCCTATCCAATCTTCCCAAATACGATTTAATGGGAGTCAGAGTTGTAAAATGCTGGGCTGACTGGCCCGAAGGGCTAATTCACAGCACTGCTTAGGCATTTATAGATACTGGAGATATTTTAAATTCTCACAGGAATGAGAAAGCTCAGCTAGTTAATAGCATTATTTCCCAAGTCCTTTTTTAAAAGAATTATTTATTTATTGAATTCCATTTGTTATCATTATGTTTTAATTTAACCAGAGAGAGACACAGAGAAAGGGAAAGGGTGAAGGCAAGCCACTGGGTCTGGGACTCAAACCACAGTTGGCCATGTGGGAATCCAGTGCCTTTAACCACCATGTCGCCTACTGGCCCCCAAGTCATATTTTACATGTAAATGTAGTTTCTGATGGGAAAGGTTCACATGGGCCCTACTTTATTTGGCCATTATTATTATTTTTTGAGAGGTTTTTTGCTATAGGGCATGTGTGCTTGCCAGAAAAAAGAGATACAGAGAGACAGAAAGTGAGAAATCACCCGCACCCCGGGGATGGGGGATGGCCATGCTGCAATCCCTTCTCCATTCTCCTCTTGGGATCTTGGGCACACACGCACACAGGCCTGGCGTGAGTTTAAGCCACCAGGTCCAGGACTCGAACTGTGGTTGATTACGTGGTAGTCCAGAGACACAGCCGTTATGCCAACTGCTGGTCCCCAATTTGACCATTTAATCAATAGCGTAGTCATACTAGCTGGATGGCGAACAGGATATGCTATGCGCCTGTGGCAACAGTCTTAGAAACGTTTCCTACTTAGAGTAGATCATGACTTAGACTTTTGCATGATTTAGTGGGATCTTTTTTTTTAATGTTTTTTTTTTAATTGCCAGAGGTTGCATTCACTTGACAGAGAGACAAAGTGAGAGAAAGCATCTCCCAGGGATGTGTGGTCACACCATAATCTCTTGTTCTCCATTTTTCTGCATTGTCAGGATTTGGGGGCACACATGTCTGGAGTGTTTTTCAAGTCAGCAGGGCTGAGACGTGAACCATGGTTGGCCATGCAGGATCCAGCTTCCCCAACTAGGAGGCTACAGGGCTGGCCCTAGTGTTGTGGAAGATGAGTGATGTGGCTCAGTGGCGGCGGTGTGCACTGCAAAGACGTTGCTACTTGGAGGCTGAGGGGACACAGGAGAACCAGGTTTGGTTCCCAGCTAGGCCAGGCATAGTGGTGGAAACCCGTAGTCCTAGCTAGCTAAGAGGCTGAGGCAGAGGGTACTGACACCATGGGACTGTCAAAAATCAGTCTTTCTCTCTTAACTACATAAGCTTCATAATAAAAGAGCGATCCAACAGAAATGGGACTGGGAAGTGCAGTTAGTGGCAGAATTGGGTTTTGACACAGATAAAGACTCTATGGAAGGGTTGGAAATACACATTTCTATCACCTTATTAGTTCACAATAATCTCTGTATCCAGATTGTCTATTTAAGGTCTTGAAACCAAACTGTTTGAAAAGTTTTATTTTGTAACAGAAAATATCTACAATGGGATCTTTACAAAAGAAGATGTGCAAGAGTTGGAAGAATAAATGTATACATAAGATTTTACTGTTGAAATGTAGACGATCATCAACAATCAGTTCAGGTTACACACACTTGCATAAAACCTTATGTCTTTTTATGAAAACGAAGTCGAGCTTCGTTAATTCCTTGACTAAACAGAAATCACACCAAACCTAAAAAAGAAGTGAGCCTGCAGAAAAAGAAGACAAATTATTTCAAACGGCAATAGTATATAAACAAATATATTTAGACAGCATGAACACAATCTCAATATCCTGACGACTGATCTTCATCCTATCGAGTCCATGATGTCTATAATACTCATCTATACCATGGCTTTCCATCTCCTAGTTCCATTTTTAAAGTTAGATAGAAATCTGCATATCCCATCAGATGTAATCAATAATAATTGCAATCTCAAACTGGAGATCTCTTTCTCCCTCTGTGTGTACCTAATTTGGTTACATGTACAATCCCCATCACAGACCTGACTGCTTACTTGACGGTTGAGGACAAGACCTACCAGAACCACCCAAGATAGGAATAGAAGGAATTAGTCCACATCGTTTCTAACCCAGTAAAGGTTTCGTAGTCATTCAAAATATGAATACTAACACTTTCAGTAAGACAAAAAAGAGTCTGGAACACCCAAGAGTTATGATCAGTGTCTGTAGCATAGTGCACAGGTAGAAAGTAGTTAATGTTTCAACCAAATATTAAAAATACTATCTTTCTCTTCGGGGAAAAGCAGAAAACTTTACACTAGTACAAAAATTGGCGTTCAATTTCCAGTTTAAATGCACTATGAATAGGAAGACAGTGATCCCCATTCATTTAATATAAAAACAGTTCAGAAGAATTTGACTTTAATGTACAAGTATAGCAGTATTTCCACATCAAATTAGTCTATGATTAAATACAATGCTACACACACACACACACACACACACACACGCACACACACACACATACACACGGTACCTTTATGGAATTTTCTAAGATGCTCACAGTAGCTTATATTATATTGATGAAGACAGACTAGAGTGTAGATAAAAATTGTCTTGTATAGCTTACTGAGTGATATCTTCTGTGAGTTAAATAGCTTAAATTCTTCAAGTTTGAATTTGGTTGAAAGCAGAACTGTACTTTGGCATTCAAACCTTCATAAAATCTTGCAGTTTTTCAAAAGAAAGAATGAAGGTCAAGAATGTCAATGTGGAAGAGACAAAAGACTTCAGGCCAGTAATATAACTGTCATAAAGTTAACCAGTGGTTTTCAACCCATTCCTGGCTGAAGTCTAGCTTCTTGGAGGTGAGTTAAGGGTGAGTTAAAAGGGATTGACCCAAATTTAGTTTTTATAAGTACATTTTCAAAAACTTAATCACAATGCATACACTCTAATGTGTTACATACCCTATTTTCACATGGGAGACTGCTTAAGTACTAACTTCCACTACCAGGATAATTTATCTTTGTGTTGTCCTTGGAATAAAATTTGAGCTATCTCTAAAGAATCTTCTGAAAGTATTTAAAATCTGTTATTATATCTGTGGGCTACAAAACTTTCCTGATGGTATGTAAATAAAAAAAGGTATAGAAACAAACTGAGTTCTGAGGCTTCATCAATTATCTATAATTCCATGTTTGTATTATTCAGAAATATTATTATCCTTAGTAATGTGAACTCAAAATATATTTACAATGATAAAATTGATTATGTAGGCTTTATATTTAAGATTTTATTTAAAAAGATTCTAGTGCCAAAATACCGTTTGGAAAATACTGCTCTAGTTTACTGTCTTTTAATTCATTAATCCAACGTACAGTGATTTAGCTGTTTTAAAGCACACTGCCTTTCGAATACATTTCAATTCTTAAATTACTCAGCATAATGGGAACACATCTGCCAATTAGAGAGCTGTAGACCTTCAGAAATGCTAACTCATGAAAAGGAAACATTACACTAAAACCACTTGTAATTGCTTTAGATACTTTCAATAGGCAGCTTAAGGAAAGATCATTAGTTTTGAATTCATCATATATTTATTATTATGTTTGAAATCTCAAAACATGTTCATTTTCCAGGCAACACAACTCAGTATCTTCACAGATCACCTGTGTTGTATGTTTTGAGAGTTTAGGCGCATTTCAATCCTTTGAGATTTTATTTTGTGGTTTCATTATAAAACAGCTTGCACACCAAGCTCAAACAATCTTTTTATTTAAAAATCCACCTCAAAAATTCACTTCTGGGTTTAGTTTTTGTTTAAAAAGAAGCAAACATTTAAAAGCATCAGATGTTACTAGTCAACAATTCATCCCAGTATGAACATTTGGTCTGTGGGTTGGGGAAATACACCTATGACATCCACTAGGCACAGTATGATGGCTAACAGGCCAGAAATCGGGGCACATTTGTGTACTCAGGCAATGGTCAGAGGTCTGAATGGAGGGAGTCCATCTTAGCTGTGGGCACCTCTATCTCCATGCCCCTTCCAAAAACTGTTAGTAAGTCTCAAATCAGTACATAAAAGTTGTATACAATTTTGTTTAAAAAACAATCAACTATACCTGTGTTCTAATTATGTCACAAAAGCCAAGACAGATGAATGTCATTGTAGCCTCACTATAATCTGGTCTTGATATTCTTGCACAGGACCATATTACAGGAGACGGAATTATATCATTCCTCTGATGGTTTCAAAAATCTGGTTGAGTGGCCAGCAGGTGGTGTGGGGGTTAAGGCGCTGGACTCCTACATGGCACACCATGGTTCAAGTCCTGGACCTGGCAGCTTGAAAAATCATGCCAGGCATGTGTGTGTTTGAGAGTGTGTGTGTGTCTAAAATCCCAAGAGGAGAATGGACTGCAATGTGGCCATCCCCTCTGGGGAGTGATTTCTCACTTTCCCTCTCACTGTTTTTCTCCAGTGAGCATACACACCCTGTGGCAAAAACCTTAAAAAAAAAAAAAAAAAAAAACAAAACTAAGCAAAACGAAACAGAAATCTGGTTGAAAGGGGTCCATGACTAAGATTTCACATTATAGTAAGGCTCCAATATTTCTTGAATTGGGGCAGTGAATAGAAATCACAGTATAAAACCCTTAATTCTCTTACTGGAAAAGCAATAGGTGCTACATATGAGAATCACTTATATAACATCTATTTTTTTTAAAAAATGCAGATATAAAATATTAATTGCATAGGGATTTAAATATAAGGCCAAGAAGAATATTAAGTAAAAAAAAAATATCATAGAAAGGGCACTATGGTGTCAAAAGATAGAATTTCATTCTTAGAGTAATACATCTGAATTACTGTCCAATTAAAAATCACAGTATGTTGCTATAACTAACAGTGAATGTTAACTGTGTCACTGGTTCCAAACTGGAAACCAATATTAGAACTAACAAGAACACAACTAAAGCTCATTGCCTAAACCTGATCAGTGTATTGGCACATCAGTGCCTGGTACGTACCTGATTAGTTATATAATCTAACGTTTGCAAATCATGTTTACTACATGTTAACAAGTGTAAGAGCACATTACCACTGCATGCCATCAATAATTTGTAGGCTTATTCGATACTGTAATTATTCAGTCTTTCAAAGGTGTAAGATCCTATCCGGCAGAATCTTCACTCAATAAACCAAAAACACTGTATTTAACAAAATATAACAAAAGTTCCACCATTAAAAACAAAATGCACATGAACCAGAGAACTAGTTCCTGACACCAGTACATACATCATCTTCAGCGTTTTGGAAGACAATGAATGATGAGTCCACTTCTGCAGGTTAAGCTAAGGGTTACCACCTGAAGCTTCAGGTAGAACACTAGCTAACATGTGGGTCTGCTTCTCATTTTAATGTTGTTAGGCTGTAGATTAAACAGCAATCTCCAAATCTAAAGTAGCTTAGTTAACTTAGTATTGTTACCTAAAGTAGTGTGAGGAAAAACAAGAACTCCCAAAGGAATTTGTTAAGGTACATTGGGAACACCCAAACCAACGCTTTAAATGAAAAAGTGCATAAATACAGTAATACAAGTGTGTTAACTATGGAACAAATGTGTTTCTGGAAGATACACAATACTATTTTCCTGCGTTATTTACATACTGTGAATTGTTCAGATACCACGAAGCACCATTGGCGGTCTAAGTTGCTTGATTATGTCTGAAAGGTTTTTTGACTTCAGCTCTAGTCATCTGATGACCTATCTAGAGTAGAAGGGTCAAGTCCTCTTCAAAAAGGATTTATCGTTATTTATCGTTATTCTTCAGTCCTCTCTTGTTCGGAAACGGCCAAAGCGGTATTTTCACTTCACATTCTTGTTTGGTGTTTCAGACTCTGTGGACTGTCTCCCATCTGTCCAGGCTTCCCGAGTGCTCTTCAGTGCCAGGGTCTTCTGTTGGTCGACCACAACGTAATCCACTCTCTCATCTGCTACACTGTTGCCCGAACCACTGCTCTTTTGCTAAAAAACAGAGGGGAAAAAGACACACAAAATTCCACAGATGAGGGAACATTTCTGAGTTTAATTCAGTCTTGAAGCACAGGCATCTATCTACTTAAGGTTTTTTTGGGTCACACAAAAATAACATTTAAGAGTTTGATGGGACCAGCAGGTGGCGTAGTGGTTAAGGCGCTGGACATTTCCACATGGCCGACCACAGTTCGAGTCCTAGACCTGGTGGCTTGCTTTCTCTCACTTTATCTCTCTCTGTCTCTCTCTGGTCAAATTAAAATAAATGAATGAATAAATAAAATTAAATAAATAATTATTTTTTTAAAAAAAGAGTTAGATTTAACAATGTTACCTTTCTCCTAACTAGACACTATTTTTTTCTTTTCTTTTTCTTTTTAGGGAGAGATTTTTGCTATAGGGCATGTGTGTTCTCCAGAGAGACAAAAACACTCAGAGAGACAGAATGTGAGAAATCAGCTCCCAGAAGGGGATGGCCATGCCCCAATCCCTTCTCCTTCAGTCTCCCCCTGGGATTTTGTGCACACATGCATGGTGTGAATTATAAGCCACCGGATCTGGGACTCAAACCATGGTGGATTACGTTGGAGTCCAGTAAGGTAAACATTACACCATCTACATGTCCTCACACTATTTTTTTCTTAAATTTAAAATTATTATATATAAGAATTCAAAGAAGTTTTCCCATCACAGATAAAATTCATGTTTTAAAGAATTATTTTAATTCTATTCATTGTCATTATGTTATTTTATATATTTATTTACTTATTTTTTTGAAGTTGACTAAGGAAAGTGAGAAAGCAAGCTGCCAGGTCTGGGACTTGAACCGTGGTCAGCCATGTGGAAGTCCAGCTGCCTTAACCACCATGTCACCTGCCAGCGCCAGATAAATTCATTTAAAAAAAAAAATTTGCTAGAGAGGACATGTACTCACTGGAGTGAGAGAAAGAGAGTGAGGAAAGTGAGAAAACACCTTCCACGGGGCATAGTCACACTGCAGTCCCTTCTCTGTCTCCCTCCTTATGGGATTTTGGGCATGCATGCACATGTGCCCGGCATGTTTCTCAGTTGGCCAGGTCTGGGACTTGAACTTCACTGTCAGCCATATGGGTATCTCACTGCCTCCATCACCAGGCCATGGAGACAACCCAATTTGACTAAATTTAAATTAAATATAGCTAGTAAAATTTCCCCAAGGACAGATTCTTTAGGTTTAAAATATACACTTCTTTAGAGAATGAGGTTTTTCTTACCTTACGTGGTGGTGTGGACTTGCCAGAATCTAAATCTAGATCTAGGTATTCTACTTGTTTGTCACCTTTGGGTTTGTTCATAGGACTGCTTCCTCCATCAAGACTATTACTGCCAAAAAGGTTCTGAAAGTATAACACAAAAAAACAACAGTCATAAACATTGCTGAGACATACACTCATCTTGTGAGTCCTCATTTGAAGCCTCAATGCCTGTTTTCGAGAGGACAAACCTTGAAGAAATGTCTACTTATGAAATTAAATAACCATTCAGGATTCAAGAAAAAGAATATTTAATAAATTGATGAAAACTAACCTTAGGGCAAGCTAACAATAATTCCAAAGTTAAACTTGGTTTTTCAAACTGAGATTGGGACATCACACTCCAGTTAACTGTGATAGCTTGACTTGAACATTATTAAAATTATATCTGTATACAATTACATTTTTTTACACGAGATTTATGCTATAGGGCATGTGTGCTCAATGGAGAGACAGAAAGAAAGTGAAAAAGCACCCCCCTGGGGTGGCGGGGGATGGCCATGCCATGATCCCTTCTGCTCCATTCTCCTCTCAGGATTTTGGGCACCACACATGCACTCACACTGGTTTGAGTTTCAAGCCACCAGGTCTGGCAAGTGCACGTGCCCATGGCAAAAAAACCTTAAAAAAAAAAAAAAAAAAAAAAACACAAAAAAAAAAGGAAATACCGGGA